AAAAATCTCATTTTGAAGAAAAAACGTGCCCTGCAGTTTTTAAACGGTCCAAGTTGCCTTGCGACTACATAGCTTTTTCTGAGCTTCGTGCGAAATGCAAGCGCACTTCAAATATAGACTATCAGTCCTATATAAAACGTACAGAACACTCGCTCACTCATAATCCCTCACAATTTTGGAAGTATACTAAAAATCTAAACAAGCACAACTCAATACCCTCCACCTTACGTTGGGATAACGCTACGGCTGATAATCCTCGTGATTCTGCTAATTTGTTATCTAAGTACTTCTATTCCGTGTATAACTCCTCTATTTCTTCAGCTTTTAATCCCCCTACAAATAATAGCTATCCCTATGAACTTCCCTCTAATTGCCATTTTACGCTTAATGATGTGCAACTTGCACTTAACTCCCTAAAAAATAACAATTCTAATGGCCCCGATGGTATTTCTGCACGTCTACTTTTTAATTGTCAAGACTCTATAGTGTACCCTATATTCCTGCTCTTTAGACGCTCACTCGACGAGGGTATTTTTCCTGTTGTATGGAAGACCAGTTCTGTTACCCCTGTTTTTAAATCTGGTGATCCCTCTCTTGTTTCGAACTACAGACCTATTTCCATCCTCCCCCACATATCTAAACTGTTCGAGTCCATTATATATGCTAATATCAAAAGAAGTCTTAACCATATATTAGGAGTTGACCAGCATGGGTTTCGTCCTGGTAAATCTACTACCACTTGTACCCTAGCTTTCCCATCTTATATTCTTGAAAGCTTTGAATTCGATTGTCAAGTTGATGCCGTGTTCACGGACTTTAGTAAAGCTTTTGACTCGGTTATTCATAGCCGTCTTATCTCTGAATTAGAATCACTCGGTATTGGGAATCCTTTACTATCCTGGCTCCAATCTTACCTTAGTCCAAGAATGCAATTTGTGAGAATTCATGGTGCTACTTCTGACTTGTATATAACTCCCTCTGGAGTCCCCCAAGGAGGACATCTTAGTCCTCTTCTGTTCATCATTTTCATCAACTCAATTAACAGTTACCTTTCATTCTCCAAAGTCCTTCTATTTGCTGATGACATTAAAATTTATTCTAAAGTTACTTCCATCTCCGACTGCCGTCAACTTCAGTCAGATCTCGACTCTTTTTGTCTCTGGACTCAGCGTATTGGCCTTACACTCAATCTTAACAAGTGCCATAGTATGACATTCTATAGAAAGCGAACTCCTATCAACTTCTTTTATACCCTCAATGGCTCTCCTCTTGATCGTGTTTCTTGTGTCAAAGACCTTGGAATCCACCTAGTTCCTTCTCTCTCTTTCGAACAGAATATTAATATTGCAGTTGGTAGAGCCCTAAAAGTTCTGGGTTTCATAAAGCGCAACACTACCCTTTTCACATCCCTCACTTGTCTACGTTCCCTCTATTTCTCTCTTGTCCTAACCCGTATTTGGCTAAAGACCAACTACGTTTGGAGCGAGTACAAAACCGATTCCTGTCCTACGTTGCTTTTCTGCTTAAGATTGATCACCCGCCCCATGACTATTCGTCCATTAGATCTTCCTTAAATATCCCTAGTCTTACTTCTCGCCGTGTAGATGTTGACCTTTCATTTATCACCTCTCTTCTTAATGGCTCAGTGGATGCCCCTGACCTCTCTTCTATCTCTTTCCGCGTTCCCGTGCATTATACTAGAAATCACTCTCTTTACCTAGTCCCCTCTCACAGTACCAACTACTCTCATAACCATCCTTTGCATAGAATGCTCCGTCTACTCAATAACTCCTAGATCCGTACATGTTATTCTGAATTATTATATATTAACATAAGCTATTTAGTTTTTAGTCGTATTGTGCAATAGCATTTAATGTTTATAATTTTTCTGTAAGATCACCTTAATCACTATTATTATTGTAATTTTTTTTTGTGCTTAACTTGTTATTGTATCTCTTTGAATTGCCGATTGGCGTTAAATAAATAAATATAACATTCTTACACATAATGACATTTTAATAATTGATTTACACACACATTCTCATCAAGGTCACCCACTATTTTACTTAATAATTTTTTAATATAATTTTTAATAGTTAGGGCATTGGTATTGTTTAAAAAGAGTTCACATACTTTTTTAATTTGACTTTTTACATCACTACCAAATTATTAAATATTATTTTACACATGTAATCAGGGGAGCTTCTTGAGCTAGTAAGGGATATAAATGGTGTTTTAATAAATTTTCCTGTTCTCCTCTCTAGAATTTCTATATCTTTTAGTCTATGCCTCAGTATGGATTTTATTAAGATTTGTCTAATGTATAATTTATAGACAGATAATATATTTGTACAACTAAATAATTCCGCCGAAGGATATGTTAATGGGAGGGAGTAGGCTACCTTTATAATATATTTTTGGGCAGTGTGTACTGTAGCAATTTCTGTTCTATTAGCACCACCCCAACAAGTTATACCATATAGTAGAATTGAATTGCACAAAGCCATGTAATTCTTTCTTATTGTTGCTTTATTTAAGAAACGAATTTTATAAAATAGTACTGCTAACCTCCTCATTTTATTTTTAATATTTTGTAAGTGGTCTGACCATTTAGGTTGTAATCCATTATCACTCACTTAATTGATTATGCAGATGCTTAAAGTAATTTGTAGTGTTACACCGCTATTAGAAATTTAATTTTCACGCATTCCTACTTTTATCATGTAATAAAATATTAAAACTGTGTTTGTATATTTTATATCCTTAGATGTAGATAGCACTAGGTATGAACGTCTTATTGTAAGTATATATAAAGAAATTTTTAAAAAAATATGGCAAAAAGAAGTAATACTCAAGGAATGGAGGACGGCGCTGGTGTGTCCCATTCATAAGAAAGGAGATAGGCAGTTATGCTATAATTACCGAGAAATAGCCTTGCATGGCCGTTTTCTACCAAAATCTTTTTCTTTTTTAACTACCCAGCAGTCCAAATCTCTTTTCTGCCCTGGTCGGCGCCGCCTGTGTATTTATTTATGACACAATTATTATTATGTGTATGTGCGGATCAAACGGGGTTTGTCGCTTTCATGAATAAAGCATCAAGGTGTGTTGTGCCGTTTCCAGTCAAATCCCACAGGATATACACGGGTACTATGTGTTGTGTACGCCGAAGATATAATATGGCAGATTTTATTATAGGCTATTAGGATATAGGCCAGGTCGAACCCGGCCGGTTTGTAATGGCGTTACGCTCGTGTACGGTTGCTGCGTGATCCGCAAACTCAATTCGTTTCAGGTCGTCTCCTATAATATTATGTGCACTTATATAATATAATATAGCACTTAATGCATAACCGAAAGGGGATTTGCCTATTATAAAGTTAGAAATGTTAAGGTAATCTAGATCCCAGTATTATACCTGTGGCGCGCTAAAAATATTGTATCGGTCAATACAGCGTTTTACAGCTTCTAAGGGTCGGCACGATAACCTTTAATACATATACGAGATGATTGGTTACCAGCTATGTCTTAAATTATTCTATTTCATACTTTTATATTTATAGTTGGACCGAGTTTGATATATTTTTCAACGATACAACTCCATCCTTTATGTGTTGAACCCCTGTGAGCTAGAACGTACAAATGAAATTGCATTTATGAATTAAGAATAATTTTCTGAAAACGTCGACTTTTCGATAACCGGTTTTCAGTAATAATAATTGAATCGCTTTTTGTTAAAAGGGCACTTGTTTCAACAGGTGAACTTTCGGGTAATGTCAAAAAACTGCATAACCACTAAAATATGGTAACTTTGTCAATAATTTTTTTTGTGTGCATAGACATGCACGTTACTCGGTATTTGTACCAAATTTTAATACTGTAAAAATAATTAATTCAAGTTTATACTATTTGAAAGTTACTTTACATGTGCCCTTTTAACAAAAATCAGGAAAATGGTGTATAAATAATTACAAATATTTTTATTTTTGGTATATTTTTAAATTAAAAAAGTATATTGATGTACATCATCTTCGAAATAATCTGCAACGATACTTTTGCTTATAATGTCGATATAATAGTCTTTGTGTTCTTCTGGGATATAGTCCAATGTTTTCTGAATGTCTTTTTTGAAGTTTGGCTAGTTTCATTGGGACTTCAATATTTGAGTACAGTAGGTTTTGAAGAAGTTGGATTGGAGTTCGAGTTGAGTTGGCCAAGTGGAATGTGTTTACCACTAAACCGTTGATGCAAGACATTGCTTTACAAACACCTTTGGCGGCTGTGTCATACTCAAAATGTTAATATGAGCCTATATCAAAACTAGTCTGCTGCTGTTTTGGTTTCTTTTTAGTTTCTTGTGAAATAAGACTTCTTTTGTAGTACTTACACCACTATAACTGAAATCCAAAATCATGTTCTCATCTACTTCTATCACTAAAAACTTTCGATCTACACTACTTTTGATGATTAGTTCTGTGAGCTCAATCGAAATAACCACGAGGTAAGAATGATAAAAATAAATAGTATGTAATCTTTGTCATAATCATTAGCACATGTGCCGTTTTAACACGCATGATGAACTTATACACAAAGAACAGACAACCAAATATGTAAAATATGCCCTTTTAACAAAAAGCGATTCAATTTGAAGTTTAAAATATAGGCTCGCGGCGGAGTGTGGTAATGGCCGAAGATAAAATAATTTAAAAACTTTAATAACTTTATTAATTAACCTAAGGTTAAGTTAATAAAAATCATTAAAATGCTAAGTCTTGTATACAAATTGGTAATCGTTATCCACGTTCAAAAGCTAAATTTGTGGAAAGACTTTTTCAAGCAAACAAAGCAAAGAAAAAGTTTTCTGACAAATGTCTAATGCAAATATAATATTATAATATTGTGATTATTTTTTTCCCCTATGTAAACATAATTCGTATAAATATATGTAATATGAACGATATCTGTCCTTTGCAGAGGTCGAGGAGTTCCCAGGACTCCAGTCAATCGTCTGCACTAAACGCGGCGGCGTAACAAAACAATCCTTCGGGTGGAAACAATTGCTGGTAGTAGAAATCTCGGTCGGGTTGATTTATTATTGGCGCTCTGCTGGTTGAGCACCTGGATCGTTCTGCTCGACAATGTGTACTGTCCTCGTCGATCAGGTCGGCGAACACAATTGGCGGCAAAATATTTCGCAGGGGTTTCAACGTTTCTGGCGGCGTCATGGTAAAAGGTTCGGTCAGACCGTTAAGTCCGCTCAGCATATCCACCAGGTACTTGATGTAGAGCAAACGTTCCAGTTGACCTGCCTCGTCGGTCATCTGGTCCAGTTTGTTTATCCATAACATCACTCTATCGCGATCCCGATTGTCTAAAAAGTTCAACCACGTTAAAATATATACGTAAAGAAACTGTTTCAATGGACAAAGCGAGAAAAATATCAAACTTTTGTTCGGCAACCGTAATATTTATGCGTTAAAAAAACTGATAGCTTACACTGGCAAAGAGATCACATACTCCAGGGCCTCGCATATAGGGTGAGTGGTGGGGTTTTTATATATTAGCAGAGGTATTAGATAGTAAAGTCATACCATTTGAATTTTTCGGTGAAAATGTCCGATTTGAAAAATGCAAATAATAAGAGAATCCGTGTTCGCAGACTTACCCATTAAATACATCAGCACTTTCGAAGTAGCCCGACCATCGGCGTACAAATCGTCAATACACTTAATGTCAGGCCGAGGAAACAGCGGAGGACACGAAGTCAAAGAAGTTTTTGACGGAGACGCAAGTTGTTCCCCATCGGGTGACGATTCGTCTTTTTTGTCATCCTTCTTTGGACTATCTTTGTCTTCCGGCATTTTTAACGAAAAAATTCGTAGTTTTCACTGCGATCGTCGTCGAACTTTGTCGAATTTTGATATGCATTTGGTCCTGTTTTTGCTGATGGAATGACCGTGGACATTTTTTCAACCGCCGTCTAAAATTGTAAACAGTTATATTTCAGCCAGCATACTAATTTCTCATATTTTCTTATAAACCAGTATTACATCTTGTAGTAGTATGAAAGTGGGGAGAAGTTGGGATAAGAGGGGTAATTTGATGTGCTGTAATGCTTTTATATAGTAAAGTTATTCTTATGATGTAAGGGGGTAAACAGTGTGTATATGTGTGTTGCTAATATATCCTACTTCTTCCATATCTTATTACTACAATAGTATGCTGGTGTTAATAAGCTTTCACGTACCTTATGGCTCAGCTATAGAGTAGAAATGCGTTGTCCTCTGTTGTCTCTCGTGACTGAAATGGAAGTCCCGTATGACACGCACTTATCGAACTCGTTATTTTCTATGAGGTACCGAAAGTTCTTCTAAATAACACGCGTACTATTAGGTGTAATGTGTTTATGACCCGCCTAACGTATATTCTTGTTTGTCCAAATGAAGTTACCCTTTTTTTAGATATACTTTTATGCGCTTTTAACTTGGTGATCCTCTACCATGCTACGTGATAACTAGTCAGAGGACTACGAAAGTTCGTTCAGAAGATCAGACTAACCAGGCTGTGATATTTAGAAGCAACCGACCTTAAGGGTCGATATTTAACCTCACTTAACAGCCGCTACTCTGGTTGACTTCCTTTAGCTAAACACTGATTAATTAACTATTTAACTATATAAATCTTCCAACTGCTGGCGAGAACATCCAAGTTCCAAGTGGATATTTTAATTCAATGGAATTGGATCCTTCGAGCTGCTCTACGCTTCTCAAGAGAACTAAATGAACCAGGCCAGTCTCTCGGACTATGTTTAGATAGTTAAATGAATAGATAAATTATTAAATAGAATAATAAATGAACACAATATTTTGTTGTGCATAAGACTTTGAACATATACTGAATCAAAACCACGAACAATTACGAAAAGAATCGGTTAACTACGCACACCATGCCTTAACAATTAAATAATTAATAAGTAGCAGACGATTGTAGCTAAGCGACTGAGCAGCGACAAGCCCGTCGTATTGTCTTATATAGGGAGTAAATGCGTCATTAGCAGGGGGGTGAAGTATGAAATGTTTCCTAGGATAATCATCCAAGCGTACAATTGTATGGTATGAGTCAGCATATGTTATGTGTCCTGTTTATTTTAGTATATCCTTTTATACTTTTATAAAATATCGTATTTGAATTCCAAATTTTGTTCTCGGACGTCCTCAACCTTCTTTCAGATTGCTTAGTTGTTGTCCACGCTTCACAACCGTATGTGAGGGTTGGTCTAACTATCGCTGTGTACTACCTAACTTTGGTTTTTCTAGAGAGGCATTTGGACCTTAAAAATTTTGTCAACGCGAAAAATGTTTTTTCTGCTTTACTTATACGAATGCCTATTTCCTTGGCCCAGTCATTTTTCGTACTCAGGGTTGCACCTAATTACTTAAAGTCTTCAACTTTTTCATACATTCATTCTTCCGTGTCTCTGGGGTCTTAATCACTTTCTAGCAGTTCCATTATTTTGGTTTTACCATCACTAATGTGTGACACGGTAGAAAAGGGGGGGTAGAAGAAAATAGAAACAAAAAAAACCAAATTAAAAAAGTTAAGGTTTTTTATTTTTTTAACTTAGAAACAATGTGGAAATACGTGAAAAACCGGACCAATGTTAAATCAATAACTGATTATCGGATTACCTACAGTGGTCATCGCCGCCGTGTTTCGCTGTAAAGATGACACCCCCGGACCTCTTCATACACCGACGGCCGGCTCGGGTCGATATAGTAGTTTATCGTTCCCACCTGCGGTGAGACGGTGGACAGTTGATAACACGACCGGGCGCACATTTAATCGCTAATAACGGAAACATGCACTGGCAGGCCGTGTCATGTGTAATCCTATTTTCTTTGCCTCACTACTCAATATTTTGTTTCCGGAACCCGCATTGGTACTCTCCCAAGCATTCCTCGGAGTAAGGTATGAGACGGGCCAGCAGTATTTTAGAGAAAACCTTATACACTGTGTTCAAGAGGACTTTGCCTCTATAGTTATGGCAATCCGTTCTGTCTCCTTTCCAATATAGAGGTATGATTGTTGCTTCATTCCAACACTCTGGCATTTCCTCTTCATTCCATATCTCTTGACACACTTGGAAAATGGGGTTGTGAAGTCTCTTCCCTCCGAACTTGATTACCTCTGCGGCAATTCCGTCTGGGCCTGGGGCTTTCCAATTTTTTAAACTAAGTAGAGCTGTTTCTGTGGCGGACTTATTGTATAATATCATCAGCTACCGCGCCACCTGTATGAAGTTGATAACAAAACCACATTTCGTCGCTATATTCATGACGTACCGCGATCAACGATAATATACACATGACCGGTATTTCTTTGTAATATTTTCAGTACCCTTACTTGTATTTTTATTCTGTCCCGTTGCGTACCTTTTTTTCATGTCAAACTTTATTATTATTTGTTGGTTAACCGTGTGCAATTTTTTTAATAAACTATTATTCTTTGTATTATTATAACCAACCTCTTTTTAAATTTAATAGTTTAACTAACACGGTTAAAAACCACATTGGTGACCATCGACGTTTTTTTTTTTTTTTTTAATTACTGTTTTTTTTGTTTAAAATAAACGTGTTACACAATGGTTAAAACCGAAGAAAATACCGCTGGCACAAACGGCCTTATATACGACAGTAACGGTTACGAAATATCGAGGGTCAGCTTTAAAGCTCCGCCATTCTGGCGTGCAAGCCCTGAGCTGTGGTTCAAGCAGATAGAGGCACAGTTCGTAACGGCATTGATCAAAGCGGATTCTAAAAAGTTCTACCACGTGGTAGCCGCAATCGAGAGCGAGATACTAACGCAGGTAAGCGACATAATATTAACACCCCCAGAGAACGACATGTACTCGACACTCAAAAAGAGAATTATTGAGTGTTTTTCTGAGTCCGAGGACGCGGTTTACTCCAATTAAACATCGGGGCTCATTAACCCTATTTGCCACAAACGGCACAGCTATACCTACATACGGTGAAAAGATTTTAACTTTAAGTTTTGGCCTTCGCCGTGCGTTTAATTGGCCATTTATAATTGCCGAAGTCCAGAATCCTATTATTGAAGCTGATTTCTTACATAATTTCTAATTACTTATCGATATTAAAAATCAACGTTTGGTTGATGGAAAAACTAAACTTTTTACAACCGGTAAATTAACCACTGCATCTTCATCAAAAATTTCAGCAATTAATGAAGACACTATATTTTTTAATCTTCTCAAAAAGTTTCCCAAACTAGTCAGTCAACTTTTTTTTAAACCAAATTATAATATTAATTTAACGCACCATATTCAAACAAACGGCCCCCCTGTTTTTTCACGACCTAGGAGGCTCCCACCAGACCGTTTAGCGGTTGCGAAAAATGAGTTTAAATACATGATAGAACAGGGGATCTGTCGTTCATCAAAGAGTCCCTGAGCGAGCCCTTTGCACTCAGTAAAAAAGAAAAATGGTGACTGGCGACCGTGTGGTGATAGTGCCGTTTAAATGCCATAACAGTCCCAGACCATTATCCTATTTCACACGTCCAAGACGTCACTCAAAGACTCAATGGAAAAAATATTTTTTCTCCAATCGATTTGATTCGAGCATATTATCACATCCCGGTTGAGCCAAATGACATACCGAAAACCGCGATCATTACTCCGTTCGGATTATTTGAATTTTTAGCAATGCCATTCGGCCTTAGAAACGCCGCGCAATCTTTTCAGCGGTTCATTAACGAGATACTAATCGATTTGGATTTTTGTGAGGCTTATTTGGATGATATTTTGGTTTCTTCTACGTCTGAGGCACAACACCTCGAGCACCTAGAAATATTGTTTACTCGGTTACAAAAATACAATATTGTAATAAACCCATCTAAATGCGTTCTGGGAGCTCAACAAGTTTTATTTCTTGGCCATTTAATTTCCGCGGAGGGAATTAGGCCGAACCCAGAAAAAATTAAAGCGATAATAGATTATCCGAGACCGACGACGGTCGAACAGCTACGTCGTTTTTTAGCTATGATGAATTTTTATAGGCGTTTTATCGCTGGCGCTTCAGAAACCCAAGCACCTCTTAATGAATATCTAAAAAACTAAAAAAAAAATGACAAACGTGTGATAAACTGGTCTCCAGAAGCAATTAGCGCTTTTGAAAAATGCAAAACCGATTTATCCGAAAATACTCTTCTTTCATTACCGAACGAAAGCAGTGAGATATCGTTAATGGTCGATGCATCTGACACCGCAATAGGCGCGGCTTTACAGATACGTTCCAACGAGGGATGGCGACCGTTAGCTTTTTTTTCCAAAAAACTAAGTCCCACACAACAACGGTATAGCACTTATGACCGTGAACTACTCGGCGGTAAAACATTTCCGTCATATGCTCGAAGCACGACAATTTACGCTATTCACCGATCATAAGCCGCTGATATATGTGTTTCGACAAAAATCCGATAGATTTCCTCCCAGACAGAATAGGCAATTGGATTTTATCAGTCAATTTTCCACCAATATCCAACACATATCGGGAGAGAAAAATGTAGTGGCCGACGCGTTGTCACGCGTAGAAACAATTTTTTTTCCAACTTTAAATTATAATGATTTAGCAACGTCACATAATTCCGACAATGAACTTGCTACATTATTAAAAACGGAAAATACATCGTTAAAACTCGCACATATTATTGTACCAACTACGAATATAAAAATATTCTGTGATACATCCACGACAAATTATAGGCTCTATTTAACAAAGCCATTTATAAAACAAGCATTCGATAATTTACACGGTCTATCTCATCCAGGAGTTCGAGCCACAGTTGATTTAGTACGTCAACGTTTCGTTTGGCCTTCGTTAAAAAAAGACTGTACTGAATGGACAAGAACTTGTATGGCATGCCAAAAATCGAAAGTACAACGCCATACAATGAGCCTGGTAGGCACCTTTCCTTTGCCAAGTACACGTTTTTCTCATTTGAATATTGACTTGGTCGGACCACTCGTTATGTCAAAGGGCAATACGTACTGCTTAACAGTAGTAGACTGTTTTTCCCGGTGGCCGGATGCCTTTCCAATACCCGACATTAAAACGGAAACTGTTATTCAAGCGCTCTTCGCTGGATGGATTGCACGTCACGGCGCCCCAGACTACGTTACCACCGATCAAGGCGGACAGATTGAGTCTACAGCATTCAACAAATTTGCTGCAGCTTTAGGCGCCAAACAGATTCGTACGACGGCGTACCATCCGGCCGCAAATGGATTAGTTGAACGCCTACACCGGCCCTTAAAAGCTGCAATTAGGGCACACGAAACGAAACGTTGGGTAGAAGTCCTTCCTTTAATTCTGTTAGGTTTTCGAGCAAGCATTATAGAAGACTTGGGCGTTACACCAGAAGAGATGGTCTATGGAGCCACTCTACGACTCCCAGGTGATTTCCTGCACACTAACAGAAAATATGTCGATCCAGTTACATTCGTTGGAAAGCTGAAGGACGATATGCGGGAGTTACGACCCGTTCCCACTTCAAATCATTCGAAGAGAAAAGTATTCATCCATCCAGAACTCAAGGAGTGTACGCACGTCTTCCTCCGAAAAGACAAGCTTATTAAATCGCTAGAGCCACCGTACGACGGACCTTTTAAGGTCATGGAAAGGGATAATAAAGTTTTCAAAATTCAAGCTGGCAAGAATTTAGTAAACGTTACGATTGATCGGATTAAGCTATGCTTCCTGGTTAATCCGACCATAGAAGAGGAGTACCCAGCCAACAACATCGTCCAGTCAGACCAAGCTCCAGGGGTGCAACAACCAGAGTCGGATGCAGCATCAGTTAGGCCTCAGAAGACATCCCGGTCAGGACGAGTCATTCGCTTTGCTAGGAGGTTCCTGTCGTGAAGTCCACTAGGAGGGGAGTACTGTGGCGGACTTATTGTATAATATCATCAGCTACCGCGTCGCCTGTATGAAGTTGATAACAAAACCACATTTCGTCGCTATATTCATGACGTACCGCGATCAACGATAATATACACATGACCGGTATTTCTTTGTAATATTTTCTGTACCCTTACTTGTATTTTTATTCTGTACCGTTGCGTACCTTTTTTTCATGTCAAACTTTATTATTATTTGTTGGTTAACCGTGTGCAATTTTTTTAATAAACTATTATTCTTTGTATTATTATAATCAACCTTTTTTTATATTTAATAGTTTAACTAACACAGTTAAAAACCACAGTTTCCACTTCCTCTAGTTTCAGGCTTTCTATGCACGGTTCTGCTCTTTGGTACTTAGTATGTGGTATCGGGTCATCTGGTATCATGCAATTCAAGAGGTTTACAAAATACTGCTTCCGACGCATAGCTTTTGTTGCTGGTTGCATTAGTATTTGTCCGTTAAAGTCTCTGATTGCACTCCATTTGGGATTGAATTTCTGGTACTGCTTGATGGTTCGGAAGAAATGTCTGGTTCTCCCTAGGAAGTGGTCGTTTTCTGCGTTTTCAAGGATTCTGTTGAGATATTTCCTTTTTTCTCTCTGGATGATTCTCTTGCAGGTTTTCCGCTGGGTTTCGTACCTACCTTTTAATTCTTGAGTACCACTTGCCATAAATTTTACTCTAGCACTGTTGCGTTCCTCCACTGCGGCACGACATTCTTCATTATACCACATATTTCTTGCGTTCTTAATTAGTTCGACACTTTGTTCCGCCGCTCTCTGTAAGGCGTTTTTTATACTTTCCTATGTTCTAGAATCTTTCCACTCTTTACATCAAGATTTTTATTGATCGCCTCTTGATACTTCCTTCTTACCTCATCTCCCTTGAGAGACTCGAGGTTGAGCTTCGACTGTTTTTCTCTTCTTAATCTAGTTTGGCTTTTTAATTTTAGCCTGCATTTTGCTACTACCATGTAATGATCAGTGTCACAGTCTACTCCTCTGTAGCTTCGAACATCAGCGATAGTACTGCGGTATCTGTTCTGTATCATTACATGATCGATTTAATTCATTGTTATACCGTCCGGCGATCTCCACGTGTACTTGTGTATATCCTTATGTGGGAAAGTAGTGCTGCTATAGTCATGCCATTAGATATAGCAAACGAAATAACAACTGATATAACATAATGTTATTGATACGCTGTCTGGTAAACCAGTTTTCTTTTGAATTATTACAAACAAAAATAATCATTTATTTAAAAAAAGAAATAATATATAATTGTTAAAAACTCGTTAACTAATACAAATAAATGAATATGAGAAAGAAACATACATTTGTTTTACAGGTTTAAAATATTTCAATACACTTATTTATATTATGGTTCAACATTATAATATTATTATTGTATTAACAGTAATAAGTTAACAACAGTGTAGTGCACCGGTCGAATGACCGCGTACAAAAAACCGTAAACGACCAACGTTTGTAACGGAAAACTAGGAGTAGGTTTTAATGAATAAGTTGAACACTTTTTAGTTAATTGTAATATATTTAATAACAATAAGAAAAGTATGATAGAATAATTAGTTAGCATTACAATAAGTAATCCAATGAGATAGTATTATAATAAGTATTTAATACATTTGTAGTTAATATAATAATAAAACCTGAGTAGTACAATGATCGATAGGTAATCTACTAACGATAGAACGACGCCGTCACTCTACCCGAATATAATAAAATAATGCAATTAAACAATGAAAGTATAATTAAACTATACTGAAGGGACACCCATCGGTCACTTCTTAGTAACATGCATAGATGCAAGAAGGACATGCCCTTATAGGGACACATATGCAATACGTGGGTTTACTACAACAGACAAACCGTAAGATTCCAAGAATCATATTAATTTATAGTATTTTTTTTATAAGTATTTATTTTAAAATATTAACACAAAAAAAAAATAGTATAACCGCTTTATTTTTTAGACATTTTGTTTCTACACTGATAAAAATAAAATTTATGTCTCAAAGTCTATAATAAATTACTTATTTTGTCTACAACCTCTAAAAATTATAAAATACCGAACCTGTCTTGTTTTCAAACTCGGCGCATTCCTGTTCCGTGAGCTTGAACGACTGTGGTAGAAAAACTCCATATTTTGTTATCGTCATGCGTACTACTGTGAAGGTTGGTCCAAATTTACTAGCGCTTAATTTAACATTTTCTATTTGATATCTTGCATTCACTTCCAGCTCACCCATATTGATCGATTTGGTATACGTTTTTTCAGACTCTACAACTTTCGACTTAAGTAAACTAGCGAAGCTGGCCATGCTAAAAACAAACATACATGCAGGGCTCGAAAACGTTCAATTACTTGATAGTCACTCAAAAACCTATGCAAATTAATAGGGAAATCATAATTTGTTCTATTCTATTCATAATTTCATAAAAAAACATGATGATACTTTTATTATTATCTGCCATTATTAACAATAGCCTCTACATAATAATTTAGGTAACATAACTTTGTAAACCGTGGTTAACTTTATAACAGCAACTTTTAATTTTTATATATAGTCTTAGTGTTTTTAATATAATTACTAAAGTCATAGTACGTAATGAGTTTCCATCTATCATTTGTGATTCAAACACCTTGGTTTTCGTAGAACAGGTCTGTGTCAAACCTGTCACTGCTAGTCAACGTGGGCTGTACTTAAGCAAGGTACCTATCCTAAAGAAATGGCGATCCAGAATACTCTGTAACGTATTAAGTGGTATAATGAAATATAGTTCACTGGTCTAAAAATGTTTACTAAGCAATTAAGACAAGATATATATAGATAATACAAATATATATAACAAAATTTTAGGTAATGCTGTTCAGAGTTCCATACATAGGTTTTTGTAATGAAGGTTTCTGACTATTCTATCAAAGATACATTTAGTAAGGACTGTGTCCGAAACAGGGCAATGTTCATGGGAAAAATTGGAATGGGACCTAACACAGAATACATTGTGGGTATCAAATAGTCCTAACATGTGTCCCCTACCTGACGGTACCTGCCCTAGCATTACTTCGTATAATGTCCTACGTGTGGTGAAGTCCGTTAGTGTAAGTGTATAAATACCATCGTTTTTGTCTTTCGCTGAAAGGTTTTACATAGGAAAGAATAATAATAAATAACATTCAAACCAAAATATGGAATTCTTACTTTAAGGCTCTAATGATACATTTATTGTACAATGTCAAGTAATATAATGTAAAATTGAATATTAACTGAAAATAATGCATCATGCATTTTTTTAACTGAATCAAATGAAAATTAAATACAATGTAGGACAAATATTTTATCTAACACATACTTCACAAACATATGAGTAATTATTTAGAACCCAATTATCTCTCCTCATTTTTGATAGCCACAACTTTCTTCTAGTCGGTTCTTTCGGGAAATATTTCATAAGGAACCATTTTTTATTAGAGGTTGAGCACCCAATAGCAGGACACCCTGGCATTAATAAAATACTATAATAATAAATAAACAAGAGAAAAACATTATATGTACATTCAAATTTACTAGTTAAAGTACCTACTTGATATAACATATTGGATTTAAACAATGAATAAACATAATTAAGGCCAAAAATTATAGGTATTTACATAGTTATTTAAATATTCTTTATGAAAAAATTGTAAATAAATTGAGTCACTGTCTATAGTTTATCCGGGTTACGATTATCGGAGAAGTACTGGTCCCGGGGGCAGTTAACGGCCTTGTTGATGAGTGGGGCCTCCGGAAGTAATTATTTTCCGGGGGTGGGGTTGAGTGGGTACGGACGGCCTTCCCTGTATCGGCTCCCATCCTTCCTCTCGTCCCTACCTGACTTTGGCTAGGCCGTCCCAGCGCTCTTGGCGCCGGTTTTCGGTCTACCTGTACCTTACCTTGGGCCTCTGCTCTTAGGCGTACTAGGGGGGGCATTCCAGATGTACCGGGTGTTGCACTTACGACGCTAGGCCTAAAAGCAGACTTACCTGTCCTTACCTAGGAGGTCACTCCAGATTGTCTGGGTCGTGACCTCACTTTCGTCCGGGTGCCCATTAGCCATCCTCGATGGTGTAGTCGCAAGCCACCGGCCCGTCTCGTATTTCAGAGAGCGTCGCCTTCTTCGCCCATTCCAAGGTTATCACCGGTGGTAGATACGTCTGAGTAGACGTATCGACAACCGGCTTCTTCGGGGGGTTCGGAAGTGACCCCTCCTCGCTCCATTCCTGGTTAAACCCTCTCATCCGGCGGATGGCGTCCTGGTGACCCGTGACCCCTCCATCTGGTGGACCACGGACTTGATGGTTGTGGCTGGGGGGCGAAAGCGCTTGCCGCTTCGGCCGTCTTCCACTCGTGCCCGTTTCACTGGGGGTTGCGACATCTGAAATCAGCGTAGGATAATTGGTCACATAAGCGGGTTTTAGTGCGGACCAGTGAACTTTTATGACCGGCTTAATTTCCGTGAAGAAAACACCTTTCCCCAGAGAACTTCCCAGTCTCACTGGTCCTATCCACTTAGACGCAAACCCCGCGTGAAATCCTTTTGCTGCGTTTGAGAGTGGGTGACTGCGGTAGTACACCCAATCTCCTATCGAGAACCTGTCTAGGGGTTTCCCTACTTGTTTGTCATTAGGGGTCCCTATCACTGCCCTAGCGCGTTTCCTCCTATAAGTTCGGCTTCTACGGGTAATTCGATTCTGGGTCCTAATAGGATCCAGTCACCCGGCGCTTTGGCTCCGCAAGAACTAGCTGAGAGGGGGTATAGCCAGTTTTCGAGTTTTTTCGATTCCGTATCGCGAACAGTAAAGAGGGTAAACACGTATTCCATAGACGATGTGGTTTATCGCGCAGTTGAGCTCGCAGTCCTTTTTTTAGCTCCTGGTTCCGTCTCTCCACTGGGTTC